GTGATGTGATGTTGTGTATGTGTGTGTATGTGATGTGATGTTGTGTATGTGTGTGTATGTGATGTGATGTTGTGTATGTGTGTGTATGTGATGTGATGTTGTGTATGTGTGTGTATGTGATGTGATGTTGTGTATGTGTGTGTATGTGATGTGATGTTGTGTATGTGTGTGTATGTGATGTGATGTTGTGTATGTGTGTGTATGTGATGTGATGTTGTGTATGTGTGTGTATGTGATGTGATGTTGTGTATGTGTGTGTATGTGATGTGATGTTGTGTATGTGTGTGTATGTGATGTGATGTTGTGTATGTGTGTGTATGTGATGTGATGTTGTGTATGTGTGTGTATGTGATGTGATGTTGTGTATGTGTGTGTATGTGATGTGATGTTGTGTATGTGTGTGTATGTGATGTGATGTTGTGTATGTGTGTGTATGTGATGTGATGTTGTGTATGTGTGTGTATGTGATGTGATGTTGTGTATGTGTGTGTATGTGATGTGATGTTGTGTATGTGTGTGTATGTGATGTGATGTTGTGTATGTGTGTGTATGTGATGTGATGTTGTGTATGTGTGTGTATGTGATGTGATGTTGTGTATGTGTGTGTATGTGATGTGATGTTGTGTATGTGTGTGTATGTGATGTGATGTTGTGTATGTGTGTGTATGTGATGTGATGTTGTGTATGTGTGTGTATGTGATGTGATGTTGTGTATGTGTGTGTATGTGATGTGATGTTGTGTATGTGTGTGTATGTGATGTGATGTTGTGTATGTGTGTGTATGTGATGTGATGTTGTGTATGTGTGTGTATGTGATGTGATGTTGTGTATGTGTGTGTATGTGATGTGATGTTGTGTATGTGTGTGTATGTGATGTGATGTTGTGTATGTGTGTGTATGTGATGTGATGTTGTGTATGTGTGTGTATGTGATGTGATGTTGTGTATGTGTGTGTATGTGATGTGATGTTGTGTATGTGTGTGTATGTGATGTGATGTTGTGTATGTGTGTGTATGTGATGTGATGTTGTGTATGTGTGTGTATGTGATGTGATGTTGTGTATGTGTGTGTATGTGATGTGATGTTGTGTATGTGTGTGTATGTGATGTGTTGTTGTGTATGTGTGTGTATGTGATGTGTTGTTGTGGTATGTAGTGTGTTTTCAGACAGGTGTTGTCAGTAACAGATGTTGGATTGTGGCAGTGCTCTGTTTATGTTCTCAGATAACTGACAGGGTCTTCTGCATTTGCTTTGGGTAGTTGAGAGACATAACATGGATGTGATTAATTAATTCATATGTATATGTATTTATTTTTTGTTCAACATCAATGTTTTGTATTTTTTGTTTTGTTTATATAAAGGTCAGTCCATCTCAAGTGGTCCAAAAGTGGTTGTTTGCTTGACCTTTTTAAAAAATTAAGGAAATTTAAGCGATTACCTGTGTTGGTATCGCAAAGCAACGTTTAGATATATTACTTGGTTTAATCACATTGTGTTGTGGCCCACAATAAGCTTAGGTTATACTGATGTTTACGGAAACCTTGATCTCATTTCAGGACGACTCACCCTCACCGTGTCGCTCCAAACCGGTCTGATTGTCTTTCTTCTGGCGAACACAAAAGATATTTTGAAGAATGTTGAAAAGCAGACAGTTTTGGTAGCTATTGTCTTCCACCTAATGGAGAAAATATAAAACAGACATTTCTCAGAATGTCTTCTTTTGTGTTCCACAGAAGAAGGAAATTCATTCAGGATTGCAAGGACATGAGAGTTTCCATTTTAAAGTTAGCTGAGGCCCCTGTTTGAAAATCTTGCTTGGATTACATCTGTTCATTTCTCAGAAAGCCTGGATAAATTATGCTTTCTCCAGGTTTCTACTAGCCCCAGCTCTGTAACCAGCAGAATCTCAAACTCAGATCTTTTACAGCACAATATTAGCACAGAGGACTCGTATCTGTGATAGCAGCTTCCCGTCTGCTCCCCACCAGAGATAATCAACCTTGTAATTCAGGGGAATTAGAAAAAAAACTGCCCTTGTCCCCCCCAAAAAAAGAGTAATCTCAAACTGGAAATGTATAAAGATTTAGGAACCTTGAACCCTTCCCATGATAAAGTGACTCTAAGTGGAACTTAAAGCGATCTCGATCATATTTGATCAATATTTGCCTTATCTTATTGAGTGCATGTTATGCTGTTCATAATCATCAGTGTTTGTCTTTAGAGAAGTGCCATATCTCTGTTGAAAATATGAGCACATAGCATGAAATAACCCATTTCTGCCATTTTTTTTTTATATCATCCCAGTTCTGCAGCATTTTTTCAATCTGATTTCAAAAACCGGATCTTTTTTTTTTTCTTTGCAGGACAGTAGTAACTCTGAACTTGTGGTCGTCTAGGGATTACTCTGACACATCTGAGTGGTGAGTCCATTAAACATTCAACAGAAAATAGTTAATGGGTTGATCACATTCAAAAAAATACTGTGCAGTTTAGTGTTATCAAAAGACCCGGTATTTCGGTACCAAGTCGGTACTGAAAAAATGAAGAGGATGAGGACAGAGAGGATGCAGAATATGATTCGGTAGGTGAAAGAGGGATGCGAAGTGATGCTTACTGGGTGTTCAGATTGCTGGCCCACTGGACAGTTAGTGAAATATTGTTTTCCAGATCAAATAGAGAGAAAAATAATTCTAATAATGACCGGCATACCGGCACGATTCTACAAAATAGTCTGCAGTTAGAAGAAATGCTAACAGACCTTAACGAGCTGTCAGACTCAGTGTTGCCAACTAATTTTCAGGGGAAGTTGCTAAAGGAAAAAGTGCTGCTTTGTTGCTAAAAGTTGCTAAATGACATTGTGATGTCATTGCACGATGATTTTACACATTTACACGTAATATGTAAAAAATCTCAGGAAACAAAAATGTTATGTGTTAATTTAGATTTGTTCATAAAATAATATAACGTAATATAATATTAAAATATAAATAACTGTATTTTTAAATACAACATTGAACACTTACACATTTTTGAACAATTACAATTTAAGTTATTTTTTATTAGCTAGTAAACTAGTAAAACTACACATTCTGAACAATTATAGTTTTAAGCAGTGTATTAGCAGGTAGTATAAAAATAGGGCACAATCTACTATGTTAATATGAAGGAATTTTCTGTATTGATTTTTCACAGGTTTTTTACCTGCATTTTAAATTACGCATTGCATTTTGTGTTTTCGGGTTACAGGGTTACAATGAATAATGGATAATGTCCTGGAAAATAACTAGTACCTTTTCCATTTTTCTAAATATTTTTCTTACAGTGTAGCCTAACTGATCAACAATCACAGGTACAAGCTACTAACAAGGTGTATCATAAACGAACAATTATTCAAATATTCAATTATTATTATTAAATTAAACAATTGCAAATAGCAGCTAACTTAATTCATGTGATGTGTGTACTACTAGGCATCTTTGGTTTCCTCATTTTGTGTGATTTAAATGGAAAATGTGTGCCTTTTTATCGTTTGAGTCACTTATCAAAAATTGCTAAAAGTTGCCAAATAAATTAAAAAAAAAAGTTAAATTTGTTGCTAGGTGCTTTTGGAAGAAAAAGTTGCTAGGGTAGTGTGAAAAGTTGCTAAATTTAGCAACAAAATTGCTAAGTTGGCAACACTGGTCGGACTTGGCTAATTGTGAGGAAACAAAATTCAGCGGAAACAATGAAAGGATTCTAAAACTCCTTCAAGAAGGAAATCCAACATTGTGACAAAGTCAGCAGTGTATAAAATTTGGTGCAAGGACGGTGTGGACACAGTTACTTTTTGCAGCTGACCTTATTGCAATTCTAGGAGTTTCCCTTTCAGACGCAAAATTTATAGGAGAAGAGTATTTAAATAAATCATGTAACGTGATTGTCTAAGGTTTGTGGTTGTCAATTTAACTCCCAAAAAAGCATGTTTTAGCCCATTTTGTGCTTTACATGACGATGTGAGGCTCATAGATCAGTTGTTATCTAATAACCAACTGATTCCTAGGGCTGCATGATTATGACAAAAATCATAATTGTCGATTAATCCCTTGAAATTGTAATTGCAATTATTAATTACGATTACCACAATGTACAATGAATGATGTTTATACCATTGTTTGAAGCAACTGCATGCCATATTTTTATATGAAAATAAACAAGCTGAAAACTGAAGAACTTTTATTGCTTTTCTATAGTATTAAGCCTGAAATGTCAACCATACATTGGATTGGTTTCTTATTTAAATAAAAAAAGTTAAAATTTGCATGGTATTATAATGTTATACTAAAACTAAAATGTAAACAGTGGAAAAACCCTTAAGATAACCTGTAGAAAGAAAAAAAACTAATCTTAAGCATGCAGAATAACATAAGTTGACTTTGAACGATTAATTGCCGCTTTGAATGATTATGTAGCTAATTGTGGTATCCGTAATTGTAATCACGATTAGAAATTCGATTAATTGTGCAGCCCTACTGATTCCTTTTAACCTGCTTGTAAACAAACGGTACAGTTATGAGAACGTATTTTAATATCCGAGATTCAGTATCTCTCCGAACAAAAAAAGGTTATATTTTACAAGACATCATGCGTTTTTATCATTAGCTGACTTGCATTTCATACCTGTGTGTTGCATCATGTGAAGTAAAATGATTTACAGCACAATAAGATGCTAAATGTATACAAACCTGTATTTCCCTGAAGAAATGTACCAATTTGGTGGCGCTGAGTACTTCTCTCTCAAATAGCCAGCGCTCTGTAACTCAACAGCTGGGTTGTTGAAGTAACATTAGCACTAGATTGTTGTGTTGGTGGATGGGTGACGATTATATTGTTTCAGCTGTCAGTGAGGGATGCTTTTTTTTAGTGCTGTCAAACGATTAATCGCATCCAAAATAAAAGTTTTTGTTTACATAATATATGTATGTGTGCTATGGTCTGAATACTCTATTCTGATTGGTTGAAAGATGTGTGTTAAAAAGGTTGCATGCACAGGTAGTTACGGTCAGTTACTGTACTGAGAACAAGAGTGAAAATGTATTCACACCCTCTTGATATGAACCTGCTTCTGTGAATTCATATTCACTATTTATTGTCGGTTTTTAAAGGATTCGAACTGGATAAAGCTGTGGCTTTTAAGAAGCTGAGGAATCCATTCGTCATCAACGATCTGGATCTTCAGTATTTTATTCAGGACAGGTGAGCTTCATGTCCACCACCATGTCTTGATTTGTATTGCAAGTTAACCGCATTGTTTATTGACCACACATGATGTGCTCCAACTCCAATTCAAAAGACATTGCCAGCTATACTTCATGCTTTTAAAACTGGAATAACTTTTGTTCAATATATTTGAAAGATAAGTAGATAAGTAGTAGTTCCAGCTCCCTGAAGCGTCAGTGATTCCAGTTCGGCACGCTCACAAAATCTCACAGATGCTGTCTACACTGCGCAAGGAAACTATTACATATATCGTAACTTTTTTGTTTATGATGAGAGAATTGGCAAGAGTGCCAAAGTCAGTGCTCTGGAAAACTCTGGCATTTTCAGCGGGTTTCTTGATCACTGGTGACTAATCTAAATGCCTCTGATTGGCCATTGCATTCATGCACTCAACAAGTATATGGTTGATTGGTTATAATGCTCAACACTGAAAGAAAAAAAACATAAAAAGAAATCTTTGATGCAATCTCTAAATGCAATGTTGCAATTGGCACTTTTCATTCAATTTCATATTTTACTTTAACCCTAAATAGGCCTTGGGGACAAATTTGGGCAAAATAATTTTTAATTAAAAAAATAAAATAAAAATGGTTTCCTTAATCTGAGTGGTAAACGACTTGGTTTCTTTTCCTATGTTTCCTACCTGAACACACAAAAAAGTTGGATTTGATTCAACAATGTTGTGTTTGGGGAAAAAAACTTCTTAACTGGTCCTTCGTGGACAAAAGTGGGCAGTCATAGGAAATGAATGGGTGAGACTATAATTCAGAGCAATTTTTTTTTTATTTGTCCAATAAAAATAAATAAATCCAACACAATGCAGATCATACATACATATAAATAAAGGGGTGAGCCTATACAACGAGCCTCAATGTGGCACACACACACACACACACACACACACATCCATAAACAAAACATTGAATGACCCTATAACTTTTTTTGTTTGTTAATTTTGTCAAATAAAAAACAGTCTCACACACACACACACACACACATACTTGTATTTGTGGTTTACGGGGACTCTCCATAGGCGTAATGGTTTTTATACTGTACAAACTGTATTTTCTATTGCCCTACACCAACCCTACCCCTAAACCTACCCCTCACAGGAAACTGCTGCCAGTTTTTGAATTTCATAAAACACCGTTTTGTATGTTTTTTAAGCCTTTTGTTTTACGGGGACACAGGAAGTGTCCTCATAAACCATGTTTACGTTGTAGTACCCATGTCATTATACACATTTGTGTCCTCATAAACCATATATACCTGTACACACACACACACACACACACATCATTAAACAAAACATGGAATGACCCTATAACATTTTTTGTTGTTGTTAATTTTGTCAAATAAATAACAGTCTCACACACACACACTTCAAAGTCAGATCAAAGTCCTACTGCAAGATTTGTTGATGCTTCCAAACAAAACATATCTGAAACATGCTACTTGCTAGGTTTATTGTTTATTCTTACCTGTTTGGTACCATTTAGCTTTTTTTGAGTTATTGAAATTTGATGTTTTTTTTGTTAGAAATAAATTATTCCGTCTCCTACTTTGTCTTTTGCTTATAGCATGGTCAGATTTGTCTGTTAGCATATTTTGGCATTTTTGTGTAGTCTCACCTAACACATGGGTTTTTAAAAAGTTCTGCAATTTTAACTTGTTATAAAATCCAAAACTTAATAGGTTAAGTTTGTTACAACATTGGTTTAGAGTTCAGCCAATGCAGCCAGTGAGTAGGCTTCTACAACCATCTAGTGGCCATTGATATTTCATGTTATTGCTATTTTTATACCAGTATATGTCACAAGATGTCACCAAAGTTTTCTAAATTATGAGGTTTTGGCTGTTTCAACTTAAAGGAATGAATATTTTTACAGAAGTAAAAAAAAAGAAAGAAAGCATATTTTACATGAAAGTCAATGGAGTGATTTTAGAGCTAAATAAATTCAAAAATACAAAAAGAAAATCACAAAGGAATTGCATAAGTTGATTGTTTTTACTTAAGTGATGATAGTGTATGACATTTATTTAAAAAAACTTTAAGGATCACACCTGAGACATTCGTGCCCAAATGTGTCCACGAAGGATTCGTTAAGGGCTGCTCTATGAAGGATGCTTGAGGGTTAAGCGCAATAGTTGTAATAGATTTCATTTAATTTTGCAGCTGGAATTGGTGGGCATTTTTGCCCCAACCCCCTTTAATTTCCGACCCTGGCATGCAGTGATGACAGAATGTGCATTTTTTAAGTATATAGCATTCCTCTAGCATGGGTGATTGTCATGGTCTCTACTCACGGATAATACATCAACTTACAATGCAATATTAACCACTTTTAACTGGCCTGTTGTATAAAAGCAATATCACATTTGAAATTGTGCTGTTGGTCTGAATATGGCAAGTGGACTATGGCCTGGTGCTTACGGCCCTATCACAGCTGTGTTTATATCCAGAACAGCAGCACTCCTGCTTGTTGAGGACAAATTTTTCAGTCCTGGAAAGCACATGGGAAATGAGAGAAAATCATAAATGTCCTGAAAAACCTTGTTGTCCTGGAAAATTAAGAAAAAAAAATCTTGTGTTTTCCTTTAGCCTAGCTAGAACGAACAGTTTACCACTGCCTTGAAACAGTTAGCATTATTAGTGGAAAGTTTTGCCATGTGAGAGAGGTATTGCTGTGACAGTTTACTCTTGTGTTGACGCTTGCAGCAGCTAGCTAATGTTTCAACTGCTTGAATGTTTGCATTTTAACCGTGGTCAACTTAAGAAAAAAAAAATCTTGTGTTTTCCTTTAGCCTAGCTAGAACGAACAGTTTACCACTGCCTTGAAACAGTTAACATTATTAGTGGAAAGTTTTGCCATGTGAGAGAGGTATTGCTGTGACAGTTTACTCTTGTGTTGACGCTTGCAGCAGCTAGCTAATGTTTCAACTGCTTGAATGTTTGCATTTTAACCGTGGTCAACACAGCAACCCACAGCATGCATGCAAGCATTTGCCCATGAAGCAGTCATCACGTCAACAGAAGTGATAATTTAAAGAGATAAATGTATTTATTTGATTTGGTTTAGAAACATTGAAACTTCATGCATCTACACGACTAACTGTCTCTCACAGTAATTCTTCCACACACAACTGACAAGTGACACAACTGGTTCTTTTTAGTTCTGAGCGATATGAGAAAACAATAGATGCTGATGCAGTGCACAGTGAATCACTCAGACACTGATTCACTGAATGTGTTTGGCCTAGTGGCGTTTCAAGAGTCCTGAAATGTAGTCCAGTTGTACTGGAACTGTGACTGTTTTTGTTCTGCCAGTGAAAATAGTTCTGTCTGGCAGCACTGTGTCTAAAATGTTCTCGATATCAACTTATTGTCTTTAATACACAAGTAATGCTACACAAATAATACTCATCACTGCAGCCTCGTGTCTATAGCAGAACAGCAGGACTCATCAGATATTTATACTCGTGTGATTATTGCCTTTTAAGTCAACATTTACTCCTATTTCGTTCCAAACTCACGCAACTTGCAATCCTCTTTAAAACACAAATGAAGATGTTATATGATGAAATATTCCTGTCACTTTATTGATCATGCACAGAGCACATAAAATAATGGACACTCTGGCATGCTTGCTCATTGTTTCATTTATGTCTTGAAGATTTCTAAAACTCTTTAAGGGTTTGGAACGACGTGAGGCTGAGTAAATGATAAGATGGGACATTTTGGTTAAATGTGGTTTAAACATTGGTTTGAAGCACCATTTAAATAACTTTAAAGAAAACTGTGCATGGGTGCTATATGAAAACCAATGTTTGTTTTTTCCAAACAATTGAATTTACCTTTTTCCCCCCCACAAAATCCAAATTCATATGCGATATTTTCGTGTTTAGGAGGGAGGTGTATCAGATACTGAAGGCCGAGGGAATACAGCTCCCCCGCTTTGCGGTTCTGAACAGAGATCCTGCCAGACCAGAAGGTTTGTTAACTCCCTCAAATCTCACACTGTCCTAGTTTGGACTTAATAGAATAAGCCTGTGTCACCAGCGAACAGATAATGTGTTTAGAGCATCTGCGTCACAGTGGCTTGTTCTCAGGTAGTTTGTAGGACGTGAGTGTCATTTAGCTGATACTTACAAATGAGAAGGGGGAAAAACATGAGCCTACAATATTAGCAGTTATAATAAGTTTTAAGTGAAAAACTAATTTTCAGTTTTGTTTTTCTAATAATTATTGTGAGTTGCTTTCACTATTTTATACATGTGGGTTCTTGAATACGAATAAATAATTAGTAAAATGGTTACCTTTGTAGTTTACAGGATTAGTTGAGAGAATTTATGTATGTACTTTTCAACTGAATTCAATCAAATCAAGGCCATGTGATTTCATTTTCTTGCTGTCTGTTTACCTTGTCTTTTTATAAAGCAGTGTTCGCTTGAGCTTCTCTTTGAACCGCTCGTGTGAATGCGAGCTGACCGTGTGCTTTCGGTCTCTCAAAATATGTTTTACCCAAATATCCTGTTTCTAATGCGAACGATTTCATGGGTTCTTTATGATGTTGTGTGATGTTTTTGTAGAATGTAATCTGGTGGAGGGAGAGGACCATGTGGAGGTGAATGGAGAGATTTTCCAGAAGCCCTTCGTAGAGAAGCCTGTGAGTGCTGAGGACCACAATGTCTACATCTACTACCCCACATCTGCAGGAGGAGGCAGTCAGCGGCTCTTCCGCAAGGTGTGACCTTAATGAGTCTCAATCAATCCCCTCAACTCCAGATACAACTCCATACTCTTATACACACCACATACATCAATTGATTTTAAGTAAGCAAGTATTTTAAAAAAACCTTATAAATAAATATATTATAAGACATAAACCACAAATCAATAAAACTAATCAACAATGAATTTATTGATTAATCGGGTCTATTTCTATAAAAATAGACCTGAAAAATAGAGGACACAAAGTGCATGGTCCAAGCTACCCAAAACATGAGAATGAGCTATATTAAATGTGAGAATGAGTTGTTATATTAAAGCGACTCATAAGTGTAGAGCCCTGTCAGGTTCTCTGGTAAATGTGCCTAAAAACTTGGATACATACACTATATTTGTATGTTTGTTTTGAGGACAACACTGTTGTCATTTAAAGCATGTTTAAAAAAAAATTTTTTTTTAATATTCAGTAGTTCAATATTCAATATATTCAAATATTCAAGTAATCAGATATATTGATATTTATAGGTTGTCATTAAACGGAGACTCATTTACACTGAACAAAATTATAAACGCAACACTTTTGTTTTTGCCCCCATTTGTCATGAGCTGAACTCAAAGATCTAAGACTTTTTCTACGTACACAAAAGGCCTATTTCTCTCAAATATTGTTCACAAATCTGTCTAAATCTGTGTTAGTGAGCACTTCTCCTTTGCTGAGATAATCTAATGATCTTTAAAAAAGCATCATATGACCCCTTTAAATATCTCATTTAAATCAGAGTTTAAGAGCTTTATAGCTAAGGTGATAAAAGATTGTCTAATCCGATTTGCTCTATTATAAAATGACTTGGGTTTACAGTAAGTGTCCTAAGTTGTTAACAAACATGTGAATTAGATCATTATAGTACCACCTTGTGCCAGACTTACAGTATTCATCACACAGGCTCATCTAGTCAGCCTGTGCATATATTCGAGTTCCCTTTCGAAAGGGAACTCTACGCTGCGTCCTATAGAGGGCGCTAGGGGAACGCCTTCGGCATGACCAGTGTCTGAAACATGAGTCTAAAGGCCAAAGTATACTTCGGCCGACCGCGTCCGCATTACGTCATTTTTGTCATCAGGAGGGCTTGCAGACAGCTGCGCACCCCGTACGGGGTGCAGGCAATTTTTTGAGACCGCGCGGACGGTCTGCGTACAACAGCGCATGCGCGAGGTGAAAGTTGAGACAGACCGCAAGTTAAGTAGGTGGTACTGCGCCTGTGTCGAGCTCGTCCGTCCGCACTCATCCGCGGTTGAGTATACTTTTGGCGCTTTTCCACTGCGTGGTACGACTCGGCTCGGTACGGCTCAGTACGGTACGGCACGGCTCGGTTCGGAACGGTTTGCGTTTCCACTGCAGTTTAGTATCGCTTTAGAGTAGCTCTATACAAGCTAAACTGAAGAGGTCAAATCATGAATATTTAAAAACTTTCTCCTTATCTTCGTCCTCCTTTATCGCCTGCTTAGAATTCGCGGCACATCAGCTTATAAATGAATGCGTGAATGCTTACTGAAGTGGCCTCCTTAAGTGATGACGTGCTTCATGCTGTCTTGTTATTTATTCTATTGTTATTCTTTTGCACATTCATGTCACTTCAGGACCGTGATCAGTTAACACTGGAATCTGATATTGGCCACATTTAAAAAGCATAATGTGAACAGCCATACAAAAAAAATCAGATCTGAGTAATAAATCGGAATTGAGCACTAATGCTTGCAGTGTGAACGTGTCCTTTGACATATAATAAGAATATGAAAGTACAAAAAAAAGTACAAAAAAACACATGACAAGAACATAAACCCTTAAAGGGGTCATATGATGCGATTTCAAGTTTTCCTTTCTCTTTGGAGTGTTACAAGCTGATTGTGCAGTGGAAAAGCGCCATTTGAAAGCTGTGCGGATGCGGCTGTGCACGAGACGGAACGGAACGCGGAAAGTGAAGTATACCCGGGCCTTAAACACGACAATGAACTTGACATTGGCAGGCGGCAGCCCATTACGTCATAACTGGTGCGGCCGAAAGTATAAAAGGGCACCTGTGAATTACGTCATCCTCTTTCTTGTCTTCAGGAGATCGTCTGTTTGTTCATGAGTTAGAAGCAAGCGCGTTTTAGCTCCTGAGGGAGCAGAATGCACGCATTGAAAGGGTTTTTCTCAACGAAGCTCCGTTTGCGATGTCCCTATTCTGGAGGGATGTGGGGCGCGCTTTTGGGTGGAATGTTTAGAGCTAATTTTTTGCGATGCGTTCACCTCTGATCTAGCACTCTCTCTCGGGGTTCGGAAGCCCTCACTGCGGTCTCTTCCCCCTCCGAGTGAGAGCTCGCTGCTGCTAACTTCCTCCGATGAGGTTGATATTGTTAGCATTAATACTGCTTTTAGATCGCTTGTTTTTCTCTCGCTACATCATGGGTTTTAAGACATGGGACAGTCTTGCGCACTTAAGGTTGATTTATACTTCTGCGTCGGACCTACGCCGTAGCTTACGCATAGACGCACACCCATACGCCGTAGCCTGACGTGCACCTCTCCAAAAATCTAACAGCAGATTTCTACGCAGACCGCAAGCGCTGTGATTGTACTTGAGTTTTGTGTGTGTTTATGTGCACTTTAATATATTTTAATGTTACACCTTCTTATATAAAATAAAACAAAGCAAAGACCAAGTGTCTTATCATTTATTATACTACATAGCATTATACATCAGTAGTTGTCCGCAACAAACAATGTTGATCTGCCGTGGTACAAGTCCTTGTGCAGATTGAAAGAATGCCATCATCTCCTGTTCCGTTCAGTTTTAAATAACGATTTAATGATTTGATATTTATATGCCGCCGTCACGGCTATAATGCTTCGCCGACGAGCCGCTTCTTCTTCGGCTTTTGCCGTGGTACTGCGGGTTACACCAGCAACATGCCCGTGGACACTGCAGACTAGCGGTTTGCATGTGTACTGCACGTTGACGCGGACACAGACGCAGAAGTATAAATGAAAACTGATGCATAGCCTACGGCGTAAAGGCTACGGCGTAGGTCCGACGCAGAAGTATAAATCAGCCTTTAGGAGCAAGCGCGTTTTAGCTCCTGAGGGAGTAGAATGCTCGCACTGAAAGGGTTTTTCTCAATGAAGCTCCGTTTGCGATGTCCCTATTCTCGAGGGATGTGAGACGCGCTTTTGGGTGGTATGTTTAGAGCGAATTTTTCACGATGCGTTCACCTCTGATCTAGCACTCTCTCTCCGTGCTGCGGTCTCTTCCCCCTCTGAGTGAGAGCTCGCTGCTGCCATCTTCCTCCGAGGAGGTTGATATTGTTAGCATTAATACTGCTTTTTAGATTCCTTGTTTTACTCTGGCTACATCATGTGTGGGGATACACGCGATTTATGAGTGGTTTGTTTGGGAACGGAGCACGCACAGTCAGCTCTCGTGGGAGCTGGCCGTGTTCATTCATAAAATGCGATGCGTTTTTCTTCTTGCGGGTAGAAGCTCTTATGCAATATAGAATCGAACGGCTCGAATCTCGCATTGCCGCGGCAACGCGTGCGTTACGGGTCTGCAACAAAATTAATGCATTGCAAGCTGTTGTTCACGATACTTTTATATTGCATATATTTTGATGATTTTCAGCTTAACATCCAGACCATGTTTCACTTGTTTGGTTGTTTGGCTGCATTTAATTCTGAGGAATTAAATGATGTGTAGTCATCTGGCTTTGAGAAGCTATCTATATTAGTCGAGCAGAAGGATTGGAGCTCCGCCCCTAGAGCTTGGCCATTTACTGCGAGCATAGTGAGGCCTCCTCCCGCTACAGAGAGTTATCTATTGAGCCCTCCACTCACGAGCTCTGCTAGGACAGCTTCTGTGTATTGTAGGCTCTACGTGAGCCTCCTTACAAGATGTCCTGAGCATGGAGTGTAGTTAGGCCTTCTCTCGTTTAGAGGGTCGTCATGTTAAGGCCTCCGCTCCTAGAGCTTGGCTGTTTACTGTGAGCGTCGTCAGGCCTCCTCTCTTTACAGAGGGTTATTTATTGAGGCCTCTGCTCACGAGAGCTCCGCTAGGACAGGATCTGTGAGTTGTAGGCTCTCTGTGAGCCTCCTTACAAGATGTCCTGAGCATGGAGTGTAGTTAGGCCTCCTCTCATTTAGAGAGTCGTCATGCTGAGGCCTCTGCTCCTAGAGCTCAGCTAATTACTGCGAGCGTCGTCAGGCCTCCTTTCACTACGGAGGGTTATTTATTGAGGCTTCCGCTCGCCAGAGCTCCGCTAGGACAGGATCTGTGAGTTGTAGACTCTCTGTGAGCCTCCTTACAAGATGTCCTGAGCATGGAGTGTAGTTAGGCCTCCTCTCGCTTAGAGAGTTGTCATGTTTGCATACGTCTCCTTCAGACAAGAAGTGGATGACGTAATTCACAGGTGCCCTATTATACTTTCGGCCGCACCAGTTATGACGTCATGGGCTGCCGCCTGCCAATGTCAAGTTCATTGTCGTGTTTAGACACATGCTTCAGACACCGGCCATGCCGAAGGCGTTCCCCTAGCGCCCTCTAGAGGACGCAGCGTCTCGTTCCCTATTCTCAGGGAACCATGGTTACATGCGTAACCTGAGACGTTTTCATAAAGAGCAGGCATTCAGATTGTGCGGTTGCACTACAGCTGCAACTTAAAAGATTTTCTTCCACTTTTTATAGTTGTTTATAGACTCTGGTTCATTGGTGAATTAACAACTTTATTTCATATGCTTTCTTTGTGTTTGTGCACATCAGGTGTATACTGTAGGTCCTGACTATGCCCATGCAGAGGCCCGTAAATCTCCCGCTCTGGATGGGAAGGTGGAACGAGACAGTGAGGGGAAAGAGGTCCGTTACCCAGTCATCCTCAATGCCAGAGAGAAACTCATCGCATGGAAAGTCTGTTCGGCTTTCAAGGTAAATGAAGATGTTGAAAACAGTCTTGCAAAATGCAAAACTCAGTCATGATGCCACTCATTTTAATAGTTTGAGCCTTATATCTGAAAGTTGGTCATGAAGTGTTAGCAATTTCTCATTTATAGCAAACCGTGTGTGGGTTCGACCTGCTCCGTGCCAGTGGCCAGTCATACGTCTGTGACGTCAATGGCTTCAGCTTCGTCAAGAACTCCATGAAATACTACGATGACTGTGCAAAAATCCTGGGGTTAGTATACAAATCCAAAATATCCAGTGATTTGCAAAATCACTTCTAGTTTCTAATATACTTTAATATATTAGGTACATGGATATAATCTTATGTTTTATTGTCAGATGCTAAAAAAAGGTTTTTGTATTTTCTTTTTTGACATAAAAAGCTGCATTTTTAATTATAATAAGAAGATTACACTGTGGTAATTTCTGATTAGAAATACTTCATGCATTATTAATACATTTAATGTAGAACACACATTTATTTATACAGATGAATGGTGTATTTCTTTCAAGTCAGTTGATATTGTTTTTCTTTGGCCCCACAGGAATATCATCATGAGAGAACTGGCTCCACAGTTTCAGATCCCATGGTCGATCCCTTTAGAAGCAGAGGACATTCCCATAGTTCCCACAACCTCTGGCACTATGTACGTCCTAATAAAGACAGGCGACATTTTAACCTTTTAGTGATAATTACTTCAACAATGCTATTAGTATTTCAGCTACTGCAATCTTTTCAGTTTCTAGGAAACTATTAAAGGTATTCTTCTCCCAAAAATGAAATTGTCATTAACTCATTCTCCGTGTCTCAAACTCATATGACTTTCTTCTGTTTTCACCAAAAACACAAATGTGACCCTGGAGCACAAAAACAGTCTCAAGTCGCTGGGGTATATTTGTAGCAATAGCCAACAATACATTGTATGGGTCAAAATGATCCATTTTTCTTTTATGCCAAAAATCATTAGGATATTATATATATATAAGTAAAGATCATGTTCCATGAAGATATTTTGTAAATTTCCTACCGTAAATATATCAAAAATGTATTATCATTAGTAATATGCATTGCTAAGAACTTCATTTGAACAACTTTAAAGATGATTTTCTCAATATTTAGATTTTTTTTTCACCCTCAGATTCCAGATTTTCAAATAGCTGTATCTCGGCCAAATATTGTCCTATCCTAACAAACCATACATTAATGGAGAGCTTATTTATTCAGCTTCACATGATGTATAAATCTCAATTTCGAAAAAATTTACCCTTATGACTGGTTTTGTGGTCCAGGGTCAATTATTAGCGAATGTGTTTGCTGACACTCTTATGTACTTTATTTAAGGGAGAGTTCCCCCAAAAATGAAAATTCTATCAATTACTCACCCTCATGTCGTTCCAAACCCATAAGACCTTTGTTCATCTTTGAAACACAAATGAAGATCTTTCTAATGAATCCTGAGAGATTTCTGTCCCTCCGTTGAAAGTCCATTCCACCGAAACTTTGACGATTCAAAAAGCTTGTAAATGTAATCAGTCGACATGTCCGCTTTGATGAACAGATTACATGTCGGCTTTCATTCACATGTAAACCTTGATCAACACATGCAGCACATCAAATATGCTAAAGGAAGCTCAGTCGTACTTGCTTGAGGTTCTTGCGCATCACACAAGCACATCTGAGCTTGCATTTGCCATATTTGATGTGCTCCAATGTGCGTTGATCAGGGTTTGTATGTGAATAACAGCCTTAATTGCTCATCGTGTCATTTCAGGAGACTTGGATTAAAGCACTTGATGTTTACAATGTTTTTATGAACTTTTTGAATCATCAAATGTTGGTGTCACGGACTTTCAACGGGGGGACAGAAATCCCTCAGGTTTCAGTGAAGTTGACTTCATTTGTGATTTGAAGAGGTACAAAGGCCTTATGCGTTTGGAACAACATGAGGATGAGTAAATGAATTTCATTTTGGGTAAACTAACCCTTTTAAGTGTTAAAGTCACAGTGTGCTGCCATTGTATTGATTTCACCCGACTGGATATTCATCAAATTATCGCTTTTTGTGTCAAACGTCAGTCATATGGGAATGAGTAAATGATGACAGAATTTTCATTTTTAGGGAACTGTACCTTTTTAACACATTAATATTATATATTAATACTGATGTATTGATTCTGTATAAGCTCAAAGTAAATATCTTTTTAAGTGCTGTCGTATGACTCTCAGGATGGAGTTGAGGTGTGTGATTGCTGTGATTCGACATGGTGACAGAACCCCGAAACAGAAGATGAAGATGGAAGTTAGACATCAGCGGTACAGACATTTCAGCTCCACACTCTCATTGAACTATATTCATCATAAACTCGCTAGTTTCAAAAAATATGAAATTCTATTGGAACACACTCTGCTCAGCTAAAGTCCTCTGTTCTATGTAACACTTTTGAATTTCTCATGTGTCTTTCAGGTTTTTTTACCTTTTTGAAAAATGTGGAGGTTACAAAAGTGGAAAACTGAAATTAAAAAAACCAAAGCAACTCCAAGTAAAGAAATGTTGTTTTAGAATAACAAATATTATTCATCATCACACCGCGTTTGAATATTAGCTGATTTGCTCAGTTGTTTGTTGTGTTTGTTTGAATTGGACAGGAGGTGCTGGACATTGCCAGGCAGCTGTTGCTAGAACTCGGCCAAAATAACGATTCAGAAATTGAGGAGAGCAAAGCAAAGCTTGAACAGCTGAAAACAGTTCTTGAAATGTAAGTGGGTCCAGTAAGTTTATTAACAGGGGCCAGGCATGTCTAAGCATGTTAGTTTTCGGATTCTTCTTCTTCTGCCATTGCTTCTGGTTTGTAGTCTATTCCACAAGAGAATGAAATGCATACTGGTTTGAAATGACAAAAGGGTGGATAAATAATGAATCTCGTTAAATGTCATTTCAGCATGGCCTTTAGGGTTACTGAAAAGTATAAAGACAGCAGTACTGTCTCTCTAACACATTCAGTTTTATTGAAAAAGCTTTCATCAGATGCTCACCAAATATCAACGTTAAATCACCTTCATACCATGCTAGTAAAAAGTTATAGAAAATGGTACTTGTTTTTTAATTTATCATTAATTTAATAGCAAGGACTGAGGTTGTATCTTGCCGACGTATCTTTGACGTATTTACTGGGCATTTTGTGTCATTGGCACGTTGCCTTGAAAATGCAGCATCGATTTGATGACGGCGCCAGCTTTTGTGTTATTTCAACCACTCTTGCTAAAATAATCCCTGCAGATGCTATATCCAGTGCATTTTAATGCCACTTTTGACCTGTCATGCTTGGCCCCATTACATTCAATTATACAGCTGTATTTCAGTCTCGTTTCTAATATCTCATTTTGTTTGTTCAGGTACGGTCATTTCTCTGGCATTAATCGCAAGGTTCAGTTAATATATCTGCCACATGGCTGCCCTAAAACATCTAGTGAAGAGGAAGGTAAGGATGGTCTCGCATGCATCGTTTGGCTGATTATGATTTTTTATATTCTGTTTCTTTAGGCGTTCCATCTGTTTATATGGTTTTATGTTAGTGTAAGATCAGTTACATTTTATAGTATAAAAGAGGCTTATTTTAGTGCAGTCGATTCTAAAATCGATCCACATTGCAGAATTTCCTGGCAAAGCATACTCACTTAAGGTCATGAAACCCACCCCTCTCATATTTTAGCTCTGATCATTCACCCCTCAGACTTGAAAAAGGTCAAAGAAATGGCATGGCAAAGTGGGATGTGGAGAGCTTAAAGTGTGCATAAAGCTCTTGCTCTATCTTTTTTTTGTAGGTGAAATATTAGATGGGTAATGAATTGTGCATGGTTGTTGCATGCAAGGCTGATGTATTTGATATGGAAGTGTGTGTTTTGTCCAGACGTGCGGAGGGACGACCCGTCGCTCTTGCTGGTTTTGAAGTGGGGTGGAGAGCTGACTCCAGCAGGCAGGGTTCAGGCTGAAGAGCTTGGCCGGGCCTTCAGGTGTATGTACCCTGGAGGACAAGGTACTTTACTCTCACTGTGCTCATTATTGTCTTTATCGTGTCTGCCCCGTGTTCTTTATTGCTTTCTCCTGTGTCTCAGGCGATTACGCTGGATTTCCCGGCTGTGGCCTCCTCCGTCTGCACAGCACATACAGGCATGACCTGAAGATATACGCCTCTGATGAAGGACGCGTTCAGATGACTGCTGCAGCGTTTGCTAAAGTATCACGACCACCTTTTTCTCCATCGGGTCTGAAATATAAAAGATTAAGTGTTATCAAAGTCATTTATTAAAACTACGGTTGTCAGTGTATTGAGTCAAGTCACATTTTAGAGTGCTTCATACAATACAGATTGTTTCAAAGCAGCTTCTCAGTAATAAACAGAATCAGTGATGCAAAATTCATCACATATGAGACAAATTCAAATGTTAAGCAGTTCTAAAAACCAAGTCAGCTCAAGTCAGTTCAGTGTTTTGAGTCGATGTAACAAATTATGAAACCAATTTGATTCAGCTATAAAGCAGCTCTACAGAAGAAAATAGTGTCATCATCCAGCTCAGTTCTTCAAATAGTTTAATTGTGAATGATCTAAGGATTTTTTTTGTGTGTGTGTTTAATGTGCTCCCTATGAAGGAAAAAAAGGGCTGTTTGGGAGGGTTTTGGAGAAGAGAGTGTGTGGTTGAAGAAAGCAGAATTAAACTTATAATGTCAGATTGAATGTGTTGATGCTAAGTATAAACATTTTCAAATATTTTTATCCCTTTATTTTTAGTCGCATGCTTTAATGTTTATTTTGACAGCCCTATTTAAAACATAATTTCTCAGTAAGAGTATGTCTCTCTGTCTCAGGGCCTGCTGGCATTAGAGGGCGAGCTGACACCCATCCTGGTGCAGATGGTAAAGAGTGCGAATATGAATGGGCTGCTGGACAGTGACAGTGACTCCTTAAGCAGCTGCCAGCAGAAAGTCAAAGCACGACTTCATGAGATTCTGCAGAAGGACAGAGACTTCACGCCAGAAGACTATGAGAAGGTACAATCAGATTTAAGACGGAAGATACTTGTTTAAAGAATTGGTCACTATGTTGTTCATCTCTGCTTTTGGGAGCTATAATTTAAAAAGGATTTTTCATTAGACCATTGAATTAAAAACTGATGCAAATTTACCACAAATTTAGCTATTTCAGAAATTTCCCCCCCCCATTTTATCTGAATTTGTTTGCTACTGTGAGTGATGATATGTTTTATTTTGGACTAGCTGGCGCCCACCTCCAGCACATCTCTGGTGAAGTCCATGCAGATGATTAAAATCCCCGTGAAGACGTGTGATAAGGTGTACTCCCTCATCCAGAACCTGACGCTGCAGATCCGCCAGAGAATGGAAGACCCCAAATCAGCAGGTAGACATGATGGTAAATGTTGTGCATGCACATTATTAAAGCATTAAACAATTACATTTACAATGTGCATATAAACAAAATTCCATGAATGAAATCTTACTGGGTCAATACAAATATATTCATTTGTTTAACAAAACATTAAAAATACATTTCAGACATTGAACATTGACATTTTCAGGCATTGATTTGATGTATGATGTGTGTATGCTGAACATACTGCAGTTCTTTCATTCATATAAATGATTCAGAAATTCATGATATTTTTTGAAAAGCTTTTTTATAAATCATATATAATAATTTATAATAATAAATCTTGGTTATGCTATTTGACCTTTTTTTATTGCATACAACTTTTGTTTATTTTTCTTTAAATGTGTGAATCCAACATAAATACAAATAAAGAGATTTCTCAAGACAAATCATTTCATCCTCACATGTTACTGACCCTCTTAAAGTGCAGCTATTTTGTTGCAATTTACTGAAGATGTAAATCAAATATACATTATTCTGTGTTATGTTAGTCTTATGCTAACATCAGTTTGGCTGATATATATTTAGAGGACTGGGTTGGCATCTAATTCAGTGCCACTTTTTTTTTTTTTTTTTTTAACG